CGTAAAAGATAACATCCCAGGAAACGACCACAAGGTAGTTCATCTATCATTTACGCTTTCTACCTCACCCCATGTTTCAATTAGTCCAGGTGGTGAGTCTCGGACGTTCAGAAACATTAACTGGGACAGCTTTTCTCTGCTTGTGCCATCAGCCAACTGGGATACCTTTTTCTTGTCCAAGGATGTGGACACCGCCACTCATGATCTATACAACAACATCAACAACCGTTCAGACGTGATCGCTCCGCGAATGTACAGTCACAGCTCGAACCCGACTAAGCGGTCATCTTATAAAAACAGGGTGTTGATGAGCTCCGAAAAATGCGTCACCAGTACTCTAAGATTCATGATTTCCACATTCTTGTTCGCATGAACAAAATCATAAACAACTGGCAACACTCCCAGGTGATGGTTAAGCTAACTGAGGAGCGCGCTGCCCATAACACCAACAACAAAATCAGGTCCCTCACTCGGCTACTGAAATATAGAAACAATCGTACAGCAACGTCCATCACCTCTCTGAGACTCTCCGATGAGTCCGTAGTTAGTGATCCAATGGAAATATCTGAGATTCTTAATTGCCACTTCTGCGATTATTTCACTGACATCAACAGGATCTTACCAACTGTTGTGCCCAAACTTACCCACGACTCGCTAGACGTAATTACCTTCGACCTACGTTCTGTAACCCGAGTAATTCGATCACTCAAGCTGTCACTACACCCTGGCCCTGATGGTCTCCCATCTGCACTGACGACACTAGGCGGCCAAGATATTCCTGTTCTATTTCTTAACATATTTACACTCGCAACGGAATACGGCATATGTCCAGTCACGTGGAAGCATTCCATAGTTATCCCCAGACATACACGTTGTAATTGTTAAAGCATAAGACTACTGCATCATCAGCCATACGCCTATTGTTTCAAGGGTGATAACATGAAAAGTTAAAGAAAAATTGATGGACTTTCTATTTAGTCGCAACCTTAGCAATAGAAAACAACACGGAGTTCTACCGTCCCAATCTTGTCAGACTCTTCAAGTTGAGTTTCTTAATCATGTGACTGCACAGATTGATGCTAAACAAGCATTAGTCGTCATCTTCCTTGACATGAGAAAAGCTTTTGACAGAGTAACACACGCAAAACTATTAGTAAAGCTTGAATCATACGGAGTCTCAGACCGACTGTTCACATGGTTCCAATCATATCTCTCATCTTGCACGCAATCAGTAAATGTGGGCGAGTCTGTGTCACTCCCCAAACCAGTCACAAGTGGTTTTTCAGGGCAGCGTACTAGGTCCGCTACTATTCTTGCTAAATATCAATGACGTTTTCCAGGTAATACAATATGGCAAAACCTACCTCTTTGCCGATGACATCAAAATGGTGTTCTCCATTCACCCATCAAACATGCAAGCCGGTCTTATTCAGATTCAAAGCGATCTCAGGGCTCTGGATATTTGGTGCAACACTTGGAATCTGTTATTCTCACCGGCGAAATGCAACGTCCTCTCATACCGATGCATTGTTTCGCCTAAGGCATTAGCGCTTCAAGGCACACCGCTTGGTAATAGCTTCGCAGTTCGGGACCTAGATGTACATTACTCCAGTTCTTTGAACTTCGCAGAACAAGTGAGTCATTGTTCAGCAAAAGCGCGCTCCCTCAAAAGTTACATATTCAAGTCCGTAGCCCTACAAGAATCTAGGCTGGCTCTATACAAAACCTGCGCCGGACCTCTGCTAGAATACTGCTCCAGTGTATCTACCAACATCAGAAACTGCGACAGCGTTGCCACTGAAGAGGTCCAACGATCGTTCACCAAACTTCTTCTGGGCCACTCCCCTCTCAACTATCGTGGTCGGTGTATCGAACTTGCGCTAGAACTATGGGTGCGAAGACTGAAAATTAACATCACCTTCTTATGTCTGCTTATCAGGAATACTCTTGCGAGTTCAGTGACATCCTTCTTATCTTCAGGTAACATTTCGTATCCTCTTCGTAATCGGCCACACTCCATTATCCTGCCGAAAGCTTACAGTAGTACGCGTGCAAATTTCTATCTCTACAGATAGGAGCTTGTGTGGAACAGGCTTCCACACGCTGTACGGGCAACCACTAACGCAATCCAATGCCGTTCATAACTCAAAAGGTATCCCACAGTCAGTCATGTTCCTATTCGTTTAAACATTAAGTTACTTAAAGACGAGCTGTGGGAAAATGGACCTGACCACATATAAGCGTCTTCCCTACCAGATCCCACTCAACCCCAAGGAAAAATGTATGCTTGTCTTCAACTCTTCGTTACAAATGTTTTCCCCTCGGATCGCTGCTTCTCACCTTTTGGCTGTCATCATGCCACTGCGAACCTACTCTACCGTATCAGCCTCTCATAACAGCTTTCCTGTCATATTGCTTAATCTGACTAGCTTTTCTAAGCTTTTACGAAAACGCTGGCCTCTGCGCAGCATATGGCCCTCGACACCAACACTGAGACATGCAATATCATCTGCTGCTTTCTCCCTCAACTTTAACATATGCCTACATTCCGCCTTTACGTTGTCCACCCATCCGTTAAAAAGCCTTAACTCTCTTCTAGTGGTCAATCTTATTTGTTAACGCAATGTCGCAACGTAGCCTCTCCTTTCCAGCTGTTCAGTTTTCTCTTGCCACAACATATTCGTCACATGCTCATGTAGGAGTCTAGCTCTCTCACTGGCTTTCCTGTTTCAGTCTACCTTATAACTAATCTCTTAGCATCTTACAATGACCTGAGTATCAGCGCACCGCTGCGCATTCGCCTTATATGCTGTGACGTCCTCACTAACCTTAAAGTATGCTTGCATTCCACCTGCTCGCTGCCCTTTCTTCAATTAGCCGTTCTTAGCTCTGTTCTAGCCAGCAATCTTAACTCATCTGGTTAGCACCCAGCCGCTCCTTAGCCTCTGCTTTTTTGGTACTGTTGTCCCTTACTCGCTGCAACATCTGACACAAGTTCATGTAGGAGTCTAGCTATCCTAATGGCTTTTGCCGGCTCAATTTATCATTATTCTCTTAGCACCCTAGCATGACTTGAGTATCTGCGCGCCGCCGCGCTTTAGCCTCTAATGCTCTGACGTATTTAACAACCTAAATATTTACTTGCATTCCGCCCGGTTGCCGTCCTTTCATCATGAAACCTTTCTTAGCCCTCTTATGGTCACCAAACTTATCTGGTCAGCACACAACCGCCCCTTAGCCTCTCTTTTCTAGGTGTTCAATTATCCCTTACTCGCTGCCCCGTCTGTGACATTTGCGGCGAAGCATGTTTTCGAGAACAAGCTTTATTTAACTATTTATTAAGCGGAACTTGTGCGACGTCCCCAAGCAGTAGGTTTCGGACTCTTGTCGATGGTTCAGTAAAATAAGTAAGATTGCGAGCGAATTATTTAGGAATGCCCTTGTATGTTTCATTTAAACGTTCCTTTTAATGTGCTGCGCAACACTTCAGAAACACCCTTTTATTAAACTGAATGTTAAAAGCGAACTAAGCATAGGTACTTTGAATGATGCTTACAATAAAATAGAATTTGTCAGATTCTTGTCATTGGTTTCCCGTCGCTTTACATTGGCTCTGATGGGCATTTGTAGTACAACTACACCCAAATGTGATGATATTTTGACTGACCTATGCTCCAATTGGGATAATTGATTACCGTACATACGGAAACTCGTAAGGGAACAATACTAGTTATTAGACTGTTGAGTTTTATTCATTTATTTTTTATAAGGGAACGATAAAATGGGTGAACTATGGTGACCAGGAGGAGCGTTTTATCTGGCATATTCACCCTTTACAGAGATTTAACGGAACGTGTACTCTTGTTTTTCCTCTGTTCATCCTAAGCTCGTTTTCGATTGCGTCTGATCCCCACCTGACTACTTGATGTGTTGCGTGGACTTTCGCTGCTATGGCCTGACAGCTGTGGCATCCCGTTGCAGCATCTTCGGATGTGTACCCCTGTACTATCGATTATATTCAACTTTTGTTATCGATGCTTACTTTACAACCTTAAACAGGGCAGTTCACAGTACTGTAAGGTGAATCTACAAGAAACATTGACAAATCTAGGGTTCATCCATAACACAGAAATCGTGTAATTTCGCTTCTCACTTTCACATTACCAGGGCTGGTTGCGGGTACGCGATCAGTTCTCGTCTTCATCAAACATCTACTCAGTATGGGCAATCCATTTAGGTGGCTGCGTGCCTATGCAATTAGTGTTGGCCATCACTATCTTTCCTTTGGTGCTCAAACTTTTAGCCACCTATTTGCGAAGCGAGATATCAATCGGAAAAGTGATGACGTCGTTAGAGTGTGAATCAAAAAGTTGACCAATGTGCACTTGATTCATTAAGTGACGAGTCACTTTTAATCATTGATAACTGCCTGTTGTCATATCTTCGAGTATGGCACTGGAGTGTCTGTTCATCGTAGACCTCCCCGTATGGCTTTCAACCGAAAACCTTGGTGTGCGTTGTTTGTCAATATGTTATGCGAAACCTCGAGGAGACCATTCGATTGTATGACAGGGAAGTATGAAGAAGCTGATCTCAGCACGGAACCGAGCAGGTGTTCGTCGTTCATCTTCGGCTACATAGGCGGTTACACACCTTACTAGGTGTGACTCAGCCATAAGGCCAACGGCGCTCATGTATCTGTTGCCTTTGAATTAGAATCGCTTTAACCGATAATTTGAGTGATCCACTTTTACAATATAGTTGGATTGAACTCTAACCAGTTTTCCGTCATTTTCCCGCGTTTGTCATCTATTAATTACCCTCTTTTTGATGTGATTTGTGACCATTTAATCTAGCTCCCTTCGGTGTGCCTGTCTCATTTGCATAACCATAACGAAGTAATCTGCGCATCACTTATTAATATCAAAACTGTGATGTGTCCTGTTTTACTCCTTGAAGAACGGATGTGACTCGCGTATCGTTTTGTCATTTTTTTCAAGAGTTTCAGTCACCTTCGATCGGATGATTCGATTCGCCGCTCCCTGTTCCATTTGGCTTTCAATTCGTCGTGTGAGACTAACAACCTCTCACTGGCTTCCTCACCATATTTATCCGTTACCTTGTGTAACACTGAGGCCAAATTGATCGAACTGTTGGCACCGCTAACAAGTTCGCGCCTATGGACATGGAACGCTTATTTGAAGGCGAGTACCTGTCTATTTCATTCACTCACTCAATTTAACCATAGCGCATCACCCGGTTTGTGTATGTGCTGTTTCTGGTGCTGTGGCCACATCGATCTCCAAAATGTCAAATTCGACCACTGTTGTGCCACTGCCCAGTTCGACGATGACTCATCCCGTACAGATATCCGCATTATCGCGCCGGACAACCTGTGCACACGGCCGTTAGCTATCGGTGCACTATGTTCACACCAATAGTTCCGATTAAAGATGCATGCGAACCTGGAGTTCGCGGCAGCATCGACAGTTACACAGCATTTCGTTTACCAATTTTCCCACTTCTCTATGCAATTTCTGATGCCTCCTTTGTTCTTCCCATAGAGGTTGGCAACCCTAGCTGTGCTTCGCTCACTAAAATCCTATTCTCCATAACGCAAAGTTTTCCGGCGTCGTTGGTACAAGTATTTATGCTTTTCACCCACAATCAAATGCCAAACTTCGTCTATCCTGTGTGTATATGTGAGTGTTGGTGATGTTCGCCTCTTCGTGTTGCGTCATAAGCCCTGCTATGTGGCACTAGATTATCTATCAAACTCGGACCATTTAAGTTTGCTTTGTCGCGTCTTTTCCGTAACCGTTGGCTGATTACTATCCATGCGTTTTGTTTTGTTCACTCCCCTCACGTTCTAATCCCGTGCTACGTTATATATATATATATATATATATATATATATATATATATATATATATATATATATATATATATATATATATATATATATATATATATATATATATATATATATATATATAGCCGCGAATCAACATTGGTGCTGAAGTATTGGAAACTACCTCCCGCTTCAGCTACCTTGGGAGTGTGATGTCGGCTGACCAGCAGCTACACGTTGACTTGCGTAATCGCGTGTCGAAGGCAGCTGCGGCATTCGGGAAGCTTGAGTACCGGGTGTAGAACAACCATCAGCTTAGCATTGGCACAAAGCTGATGGTCTACAAATCCATGGTACTGTCCGTTCTTCTATACGGCAGTGAAAGGTGGACGATGTACCTTCGGGATGTGCGATATCTCGAGCGGTTCCATCAGCAGTGTCTGCGATGAATTTTGCGCATCAGTTGGGGCTCCAGAGTTGCAGACACGGAACTGTTGCGCCGAAGTGGGATGTATGCACTGGACTACATACTTTTACTGAGACATCTGAGATGGCTCGGTCATGTGTGGCGCATGGATTCGACTCGGATACCGAAACAACTCTTATACGGTCAGCTGAGTATTGGGAAGCGGCACGTGGGGAAACCAAAGTTACTTTACCAGGGCATGATTAAAGTGAGCCTCACACGTTCTAATCTTGATTGCAGGTCATGGGAATCGAAAGCGTTTGATCGGCGCCTATGGCGCGATCTCATCACGAAGGCAGTTGCTGAAGTGCGGGAGAAAGACCTCATGCATGCAGAGAAAAAGCGGCAAGTGCGGAAGCGGCAAACACCGATGGATTGTAGTTCATCGACATCGAGTGCATGGTGCTGTAGCACATGCGGTCGCGAGTGCCTGAGTCAGGCAGGCCTAGTAAGCCATGAGCGAGGCCACTCGGGACTGCTACCGAAGCGCCGACGGGTTCTGCAGAGAACGTAGGCAGAACCGGCGCAGCGTTTGTAGGTACGCTGCATTCGATTTACTAACCGCGTGCTTGCATGCTAAGTCTCTTTATTTCAGTTGGTGGGTTTTCAATTTTGCCCTAATGCTTTTCTTTCCCATATAAATGCCTAGTTATACTCTCTTCTATACACTTGCACACGTCGCTTAAGCCACTTGTAGTTATTTCGATAACATTTTCGTGTTTGTAGCATTTCCGTAAAATATATCTTCTGACCTCGTGAACTTACCTCGTATTCTTTTGTAAACGTATTCTTTTGTAAACAACTTATTTCATATGCTCACTAATTTCATATTTATGTCACCGTTTGCTTGCGTGCTAACTCTGTTTATTTCAGGTGGTGGGTTTTCTATTTTGTCCAAATGCTTTGCTTTCTCGTATAAATGTTTACCCGTACTTTCTTCTATAAACTTGCACACGTCACTTAAGCCAATTCTAGTCCATTCCGAAAACATTTTTGTGTTGGTGGCATTTCCGTAAAGTTTGCCTTCTGATCTCGTGAACTTATCTCGCATTCTTCTGTAAACAACTTACTTCAGATGCTCATTACTTTAAGATATATGTCACCCTTTCCTAGTGAGCCATGAGCGAGGCCACTCGGGACCACTACAGAAGCGATGACGGGTCCTGCAGAGAAGGTAGAGAGCACCGGCGCAGCGTTTGTAGGCACGCTGCATTCGATTTACTAACCGCGTGCTTGCATGCTAAGTCTCTTTATTTCAGGTGGTGGGTTTTCAATTTTGCCTTAATGCTTTTCTTTCTCATATAAATGTCTACCTGTACTCTATTCCATTAACTTGCACACTTCGCCTAAGCCAAATGTATTCGATTTCCATAACATTTTTGTGTTCGTGGTATTCCGTAAAGTATACTTTCTGACCTCGCGAACTTATCTAGGATTCGTTTGTAAGCAACTTATTTCATATGCTCATTAACGTAAGGTTTATGTCACCGTTTCCTTATGCATTAATCGACTTATTTTCTTGTCTCTCTCTCTCTCAAATGATTGGCTGTTGTTTGATATCCCCGGTGTGGCTGCGCTTGATGTGCATGTTGACAAGGTGCCTACCTGTCTATTACCCACTACATCGTTCATACTGGCTCCAGGAGACAGTTGGTCGTTGCTGGAGGGGACGGGGTGCCCTGTCCTTGTGGCCGTGTTAGGCTCGAAGAGTGGTTCCATGCACTCAGTATGGAGTGGACTACGGTCCAGCCACCGCCTTGTGTGCGGTTGATTCCCCAAATACAGCGTGCTTGTGTTTGCCTGTGAAGGAGTGTGGGCCGGCTCCGTTGATGAAACGTGGTTCCCATCCGCATGCCTCCCGGTCTTATTCCTTCGGGTTTACACTGGATATGGGGTATGTGGATGGAGCTGTGGGTGGTGCAGCGCAAGCCACCCATGGTCCCTCTGCAGGCGCAAGCGTCCTGTGGCTGGCAACAATGACAGGCAAATCCGGACCTGGATGCTCCCAACCATATTTATAGTAATCCTTGTTTCTTTCTTACGCCGTTGACCAATACATGTGGCGGCGTTTTGTTTGACTCCTTGCCGATCTGACCTTCCTAATCTTGCTAGCCTCACGGGTCCCTTGCTAATCAACCTCGTTGAATTTTGCTCACACGCACCAGCGTCGCACGTTCCTCGCCTTTATGCGGGACAACCAGTGACGACACAGCATTTTACTGCACCCTAGCTGCGACTGAAAATACCACCTTGGGTTATTGCATGGTTACGTTTATTTGGATTTGCAGTCGATCGGCACACACGGCTCTTCACCGAGATTTATATGTGCAATTCCTGTTTAGCACCTTTGCTTCTTACAAAGTGTGCACCTCCGTCCGTTATGCTCCTGCGTTTCACCCGAGGTAAACTTTGAACCCTCCGCATCGTCTGCCTTCTGAAACGTGTCGAGCACGTATACTTCGACGTCGAGCCCAACTTTCGGTCGATGTGGCATATTATACCGATGTCGAAAGCTTATGGGTGAAAAAATCCTCGAGTTTTCCAGCTGGAGACCTAAACTACAAATTCAAGGGCTACGTATTGCAGGATAATTTGATACTGAAACGTTTGCAGATTGACGTCTGGGTTCTACTGGAAGATAACGCTTCCCGATCTTCCGTACTTGAGGGTTATTGTTTCAATCGTTTTATGTGTCAGCCGTTTGATCTACTGTGTGCTGGGTTAAGTGGAGTTTATCCAGGGACTCTGTTAAGATTTAACAGTAGGATATAATGGTGTGCTGCACAAGAGAATTCCCAGGATTTCTGGTTCCCCGCAGCCACGCGAGCGGCGGCTTGTAACCGGCTACACACAGCTTTTTACGTTTATGTTCCATAATGTTTTCCCATCCTGCTCAATGCGATGTATGCGACCGCGAATAGTCACGTTTGCTTTCTTACAGTTAGTGCCTTATCGGCCAGAACAGTCTTGTTTGACATGGACGTTGGTCGATCAGTGAGCCACCCGTACTGCTTACTTCTGTGTCTATACCTTATAATGTTTGCGTTTCCTGGTAACGGAATTAGTCGTGTACCCACTAAATTGTCACTTCCATCCTCTGAGTCGGAATGAGAAAATATCAGTTGTCTTTATTCCCTCCGGACAACCGGAATGTTCTTCTTGAGTTTCTGATCATGGATCACTCTCGGACGAGCGGTTGAATACCGCCATTAACGGGATTTCTTTTGTATCGCCAGCATGCAACGTGCCGCACCATAGTAACCCGTTGTCTCATTACGGCACTTTGTGGCTGTGTTGCTCTAAGACAACTTTGGTTGATTGGTAGTTTGCTTTTCAAGACACGAAGCCTAGTACGACGAAACATGGAGCTCATATAGCATTGACCTCCTGATTTGAAACCATTCCGCAGATGCATGCTGCGCTAGGAAACAAGTAAGCGATTGCGGTATCGATGGGGGGCATGTGCATGAGGATCAGTAACCAAGCAATACCCTATAAATGGCGTAATGTCATTGGTTTGATTTCATATTGTGATCTCTTACGCGGTTGAATCCACAGCTAACAAGGTTATGCACACTATTTGTAAACCATTTTCATGTCGTGCTGCGCGTAGGTCACGTGTCACTCATTCGTAACTTACAACTCGTTCGGTCAACTCAGTTGTTGTGCGAGAGCAGTTGAATGCAGTTATTTTGCTCAGTTTCATTTAGGAATGTCAGGTAAAAAAATGTCATCATCGCGTTGACACAGTTTTTGCGACGACGACTTACCAGGCATTGTCAGAAGCGTGAGATAAATGTTTTTCATGGGCACGTATCTTCGTATTGTGCGAAAGCATTTTAGTAGGCAGGGACTCCGCGTCAACATGATATGACAGGGAAAGACTG